GAATTATGGAGGTCGAGCATTAAGGTTGTAGGTTAGGGGAGAGTTATGAATATTTCTACAGCACAATAGAGTGAGACTAGCCAGTTAGGAGTTAGACTGAGAATGTCATTGGTCGTCTATTGATGCAGGGCTTTACCTGCTAGTTTTACTATACCAGTCATCCATTTCGTATTTCGTATTCTGTATTTCATATCTCTTATTATGCTATTATTTTATTATGCATTTTTATGGTACTAATATATCGGCTCCTGTTGCTTTTTTTGAGCCGAGGGTCTCCTGGAAACAGCCTCTCTACCCTTCGGGGTAGGGGTAAGGTTTGCGTACATATTACCCTCCCCAGACCCCACTTGTGGAATTATACTGGGTTGTTGTTGTTGTTTTATAGTAGCACTTTCTTGAACAGTTTTTGATGACTTTTTGTAGTGTGTTTTTACTTGTCCCTCGGGGGACATCCAATAAAATTGGGACGATAGCGAAGGATGACCGTTAGTGTGCTTATACTTAACTAGGTCATGTTTCTATTGAACAAAGGGTGGCCTAGTAGGCAATGAAGTAGGTGCTAAGCAAGTCAAAAACGAAACTTGGACAATACTAAGAATTTGAGAAGAAAATCTGCCTATTATAAACGACTTACTAAATGGCGTGTGCCTGTGCTTGTTTTCGAAGTTGTCGTTTTCTCTGTTATTTTGATTGTTCAATTTTTTTTTTTTAAATTGTTATTATTTCGCTTGTACTAAGCCTGTATAGGTGCCTCTAAATTGATGTCGTATTCATAATATAGCTCACCACTAAAAATACTGTAAAATGGTAAATGTGACTACCTTTGACATTAACAGTGATAGGGAAAACGGTCAAATTTACCTCTACTTTGATATATTGCTCATATCTATCCTTTTTTATATTATAGGGTCACATCTATCCTTACCGCTCACCAAATTTTTATAAAATGCCCCCTACTTAACAAAATGGCACTAGATTAAAAAAGTACCCCCCTTTTAAAATAAAATAAAAACATGTAACCCATGATCGATTAAATCCATCATATAAAAATAACGGACTTAAATTTCTTAGACGTCTTAACATATTTTATTTATTTAGAGAGACCCCGAAAGATGGTGGCAGTAGGATTAGTAAGAAATCATATTTTTGGTTCTTATTAGTTGTTCATGGTGGCATTAGGATGTCATGTTATCAT